AATAAAATGATTGAGAGGTTGAAGATGAGGATACTATAATCATTTTATTATGTTTAGGGATTACTTAGACAATTTTTTTTTTGCCAAATCAGGTATTTTGCCACATTGTAAATTCCATTTATTAAAAGTTAAAACCCCATTTTGGTCCCTAAACTATTGTACGGACGCCCAATTTGGTCCCTAAACTAAAAAAAATCCTTGGTTTAGTCCTTACTGTTTATCATTTTTATCCCGATTTGGTCATTTTGTTAAATATCAACCTACGTGTCCCGTTACTCGACGATTAAAAAATGACATGTCAAATATTAATACATGTGGAAAGTAATATGACAAAAAAGTAATGATATGGAAAAAATAATAATATAAAAAAATCTTATGAAAAATAAAACTTAAATTTTTTTTTTCTTTTTCCTTCCTTTTCCCTTTCCTTTTCTCTGTCTCTTTCTCCTTCCCCTTTCCCTTCTCTTTCCCCTTGGAACCCAGCGGGCCTGGGTTCCTTGCGAACCCAGGCGCTGGGTTCGCAAGGAACTAAACCCAGCACATTTGCTTCGGTTCGCACCGAACCCAGATGCAAAAAATAAAAAAAAAAAAAATTTCTGCTTTTGTTTTTTGGATTTTGTTGTTTGATTGTGATAGAAAATTGATTGATGAAGATGAAGAAGGCAAGGCAAGGCAGTTGTTGGGTTACTGTAGGTGTTGGGTTCGACGCTGGGTTTGATTTTGAACCTAGCAGCTGCTAGGTTTTTGTAGGTGCTGGGTTCGAAATCGAACCCAGCAGGCGATGGGTTTCATTTCAAACCTAGCAGTTGCTGGGTTGGTGGAACCTAGCGGTTGCTAGGTTTGAGCAGCCGCTAGGTTCCTACAAGTGAGGCTCTGGGTTTCGTTTCGAACCCAGCAGCCGTTTGGTCAAGGATCCATTGAGTTTAATCTGTTGATTTGTTGTGTTATCCTTGAATTTAATATTAGGAGTTAGGGTTTGCAGAAGGTGAAAGGAAAGGGAGAGGAAGAAGAAAGGGAAAAAGGAAATACAAATGAAGAAAAAAAAAAGGGAAAAGAAATTTTTTAAGGTTTTTTTTTTTTGCCATCTCAATTTCTTGCCACGCTGTGCATCCTAGGTGTCAAAATGCTTTCATATGTCATCCTTTTCCCGTCAAGTAACGGGACACGTAGGTTGATATTTAACGGAAGGACCAAATTGGGGTAAAAATGGTAAACAGTAGGGACTAAATTAGAGATTTTTTTAGTTTAGGGACCAAATCAGGGGTCCATACAATAGTTTATGGACCAAAATGGGGTTTTAACCATTATTAAAAAGACTTGCATTACCGTT